CACACTGTTGTGACCCACTTACCAGTCTGTTCATCATTTTGTAGTTCAAATAGCTACCTGGTATAGATACGTATGAATGAAGTTGATTCTTTGAGTTACATCAAGACTACACAGAGAAGAAAAAAAGAGACTATTAATGACATAACTTGTAGACTAGATTTGGTGTGAGAAAGTTCTGAAATCCACTTGGTTACACTCTCTGGTCCAGCCCACACGTTCTAGGCACTCCAAAACCCCTGCTGTCTTACTGACCGTCTCAGTTTGTCTTATTTGCTCCCTCACATCTTCAGCATACAAAATCATACTTGCTCTTTATTGGGTAATTCTATGCACCAGGCACTATGCTAGGTAGATGCCTTTGCATAAAAACGATGGGCAGTATTGTACATATGAAGAACCCAAGAATAAAAGAGATTTAGCCTTTTGAAGAGAGCATGGCTAACAAATATTGTTCTTGGGATCCAAGTGGATTTCTGATACCAAGCTTTACGCTCTTAATTGCTATACTCACCTACATATACATATATACACACATACACACATACGTGTACTTACATGTATGTATATACACACAGGTATGGCCATCTATACATCTAACATGTGTGAGAGTATGTATACACAGAGGTGTGTATTGATGATATATACACATATACAGAAGTATATATAGATGAATGTGTATGCATTTATCAAAAATATTTATACTCAGATGCTCATAAATGTATATGAAATAAATAGCCACAAATATACCTCTGCATGTATACATGCATTTATATGTATATGTCACTATATATTTCCTGCTGGACAAGTGTGTATTACAGGAGTCTTGGCTTCCATGGCCTCATCTTGTATCATTTTAGATTTAAGTGTCACTTCTTGCTTTTTTCTCCTATCATTTTCTAAAAGAGAAATATAAAATTAAGGTTCTGTCCCAGGTAATCTTTCTACTCACCTTCAGTGCTGTATAGATTAATCATTTTGATGTCACATGCCCAATTGTCCCCTGGGAAAATACAATCAACAACTGCTGAGCAGAGATCAAAATGTAGGGTCATTACAGCTAAACAAATGGGGCCCAGCACAGTAGCCTGGTAGCTAAAGTCCTTGCCTTGCACACGCTGGGATCCCATAGGAGTGTCAGTTCTAATCCTGGCAGTCCCGTTTCCAATCTAGCTCTTTGCTTCTGGCCTGAGAAGACAGTTGAGGATGGCCCAAAGCCTCGAGACCCTGTACCCATGTGAGAGACTTGGAAAAAGCTCCAAGCTCCTGGCTTCAGATGGGCTCGGCTCCAGGCTTTCGGCTGCTTGGGGAGCGAATCATTGAATGGAAGAGCTTCCTCTCTGTATATCTGACTTTCCAATTAAAAAAAGAATAATAATAAACAAATCTTCAACTATACAAATGGAAGACTTGAGAACTTGTAGTTGTAGTGGTTTCACTAGCTAATCTTCCCTCTTCAAATGCTGGCAACCCATATGGGTGAGGGTTCATGTCCCAGCTGCTCCACTTCTCACCCAGCTCCCTGTGTGGGGCCTGGGAAAGCAGCAGAGGACGGCCCAAGTCCACAGGACCCAGGAAGAGGCTCCTGACTCCTGGTTTTTGGTTTTGGATTGGCTCAGTGCTGGCCATTGTGGTCATTTGGGAGTGAACCAGTGGATGGGAGTAACTTTACTCCGTTTTTTTCTTCTCTGGAAATTTGCCTTTCCCATGAAAATAAATGAAGCTTAGTAATAATAATTTCTATAATAATTATTATTTCTATTAATAATAATAATAAGTATTCCCAGACCCACCCCACCATCCGAGAATCTGTTTCATTTGACCTGGGAAAAAATAAAGGATCTGCCGTTCTTTTAACTGCAGGTGTAGGCGACTGGGGGACCACACTTTGGGAAACTACAGGGTAAAGAAAACAAAGCCCCAGAGGGACAAGCACAATGTTGTGTCTTAAATGCAGAGGGGGACATTGGGTGCTGACAGAAGGTTCCAGAGCTTTGGAACAGCAAGGGAGCAATGAATTCCAGAGTAGGGTGCTGGGAGCTATCATAGAAGGCCTCACAGCAAGAACATCTCAGCTGAATGGGGAATTAGCGCAATGGAGAGAAGTGGAAGTTTGGGGACAGAGAAAGGTGTTTTCTGGGGGTAGGGAGGCATTTGGAAAGAAAAGAGTGAGGACAAGGCCAGAGAGGCAGCCAGGTTGCAGTGCACACAGCCCTGTTCAGCACAGGCTCTGAAAGGGGCACCCAGAAATGAGGAGATGCAGATTAATGAGAGACAGGGTTAGTTCTGACGCTTAGGAAAATGATTTTGACTTCAGTGTGAAGAAGAGCATGACTGGCTTGGAGAGCGGATGACATCACCCGGGTTTTCACGGTTAAGGGAACCACAGGAGGAAGTCTTCAGTTTTTATGCATGGGGATCTCAAAACATTCATGGAAGATGGAACTAAAAGAAGTTTATTGTGGCACAAAAAAGATTTGAGGTCCATGCATTTTTTTTTTCACAATATATATCTTCAATGGACTGTTACAAGGTCCCTTGAATACATCGATTTCTATATTCTTTTTGAATGAAAAGAAAAACTTATCTCATAATTCCACTATCCATAAATGTGTTGTATCCAGGACCCAGTAAAGAGCTGAAAAAATGGAGAGTCAGCTCAAGAGAAGGATGAACTTTTTAACTTTGCAAAGCTCTGGTATTTTGGTGACTAGTGGAGGCATGGTTTTAGATACGTGTTCTCAGAAGAAAGGGTGGTAGGATGAAAAAGGCAGCAGGTGATTAGAATCCCGAGAAATAGCAACACAGACAGGATGGGCAGTAAAGGAGAGGTGCTTTCGGAAGGTGTATCAGAATAGCGACATATGCTAAGTTGGTAACCATGGTGAATGCAATTGAAAAAACTAATGTCAGCTGCTATTATTATTTATTTTGCTTTCTACTTACCAAGTGGACTAGTATTTTTGTGTTATTAATAACTATCATGTGCAAGGCTAGAATGCCCCCCCCAAAAAAAAGAAAGGTCGGCTTAACTCTGGGGGCAGAAGACAGACATGTAAGTTTGCATCTCCTTGTTCATTTAAGAATCACTTTTCTGAAACCTGTTGTGTTGTTGTGTTGTGCAGCGAAGGGCTTGGTCTCTGCAGTGGACAAGCTCACCCGGGCTCCAGTGTAAGACAAATATGAGGCTGCTAAGGGTGTGTCTTGCCCGTGTCAAGGTGAACAGACTGAAGGGTGTCACCAATGAGAATCTATATCATTGTAGCAGAGACAATGCTGATTGGAAAGTTCAGAAAAAAGGATGTTCATGAGATACAATGGACCAGAAGAGTCTGAAAAGAGAAGGTGGGCTTTTAGCACACTACTGTGGAAGGATTAAACCACAAGGCTTTTGGGATCAAGTGTAAAGAGCGCCAACTCCAGGTCTGATCCTCCTAGCACCTCTACTGTGGCTTCTCTGCTCTACTACCCTTCCTCTTCCTGTGCCTGGCTGTGTGTTCGAGGAAACTGCAGCCAACCCGCAGCACTTGTCTGCTTTTACACACACACGCGAGCGCACCCACCCACCCTCACCTGTTCAGGTGCTTCCAACAGGTCATTTCTCAGTCTGAGCTGGGGGGTCTGGGAAAACAGGTGTCCGCAGTGAAGTAGGGTTGACTTGTGGGTTTTGGCTGATGCCTTTGTTGCAATAATGGGATCAGGTGGTTCCCTTGCAAAGGCTGACCACATGAACCGTGTTGTGTTTCAGAGCAAGAACCTGGGAGTAAGACAGGCGCTTAATTTCTGGATCTGCTTTTTATCCCCTGGGTGACCTTCGGCCATTTATTCCATTGCCCTCAAGCCCCAGTCCTTAGTAGCTAGAATTTTGGATAAAGATGCCTACCTCGTAGAGGATGTTGCGGGGAGGTGGATAATGTCCAGAAACCTTGGGGCACCACGCTGGACACGCAGTGGCGAGCTTCCACTAGAAAACCGTCGAGCGACCAATCCAGGGCTATTGTTATTGATAACCTGGAAGACTGGCAGCAGATGCACCAGCCGCAGTGCCTCGGACCCTCAGGTTCCGCCCGGCACACCACCAGCGTCCTAGAACTTAAAGGGACTTTCGATGGGCGGAACCTGGAACGGATAGGAGCCCGGAGTCCTCGCGTGGGCGGAGGCCGTGAGAACCGGCGCGGGGGTGGGTGGGTCGCTGTCCCCGGTCACAACACGGTGGACCCCGTCCCGTGGCCCGGCTGGTCCCTGGGAAGGGAGGCTGGGCTCGGCGGCCGGGGCCCGGGGGCCGGTTGTGAGGCGGGAGCAGGGACGGAGGGGAGGGGCGACTGGGGTAATTTCCCCGCCTCTCGTCCTTGCTCCATAAATCACCGCAGCCGCGGCGGCGAGCTGGGAAGTGCGCGGAGCCGTAGCGCGGCGTGGTGGCACCAGACACCTCCCTTCCTTCCACCTCTTTCTTTCGGTTGTGGTTTTTTTTTTTTTGTTCGCTCGTTCGTTTGTCCGTCCACCCCTGTCCCCAATCCCAGCCTCCGCGTCTGCCTCCCCGCTCGGGGTGGCTGCCCCAGCGGCCGTAGCTGGGTGGCCGTTCTCCCTCCGGTGCCGCCCGTCGCCACCACCTCGCTGGGGACTCCGGGGAAGGGGGGAAAAAAGCCGCGCGGCTCGCGGCGCCGACTGTCAGCCCCGCAGTGCACGCACTCCGGCTCCCGGAGACCCTCGGCGCACCGCGGGGAGCGCTCCGGCGGCCGCTTCCTCTCCCGCCCAACGCCGAGCCGGCCGATGGTGGCCGGCCGCGCTCCCGCGCTGGAGCCGGGCGCCCCCTAAGTTTGGGAGCCGCTGCCGCCGCCGCCGCCGCAGCACCAGCAGCAGCAGGATCAGTGTGGAGACGAGTCTGCAGAAGAGGAAGAAAGTTTTGCGGGCTGCGTGGAACGGGCCCCAGGCGCACCTCCGGCGGCTCCCTCTCCGCGTGCCCGCTCCCCGAGCCCCTCGGCGGGGCGTAGCGAGGAGGCTGCATGGCCCGCGAGCAGGAGGACGAGGAGACGGCGGGGACGGCCGCCCTGGCACAACACTGTCCGGGCTCGCCTGGCTGGGCCGGGGCCGGGGCTCGGCGGCCGCCCCTCTGGCTGCTCTGCCTGGTGGCGTGCTGGCTCCTGGGCGCTGTGGCCGACGCAGACTTCTCCATCCTGGACGAGGCGCAAGTGCTGGCGAGCCAGATGCGGAGGCTGGCGGCGGAGGAGCTGGGAGTCGTCACCATGCAGGTAAGCGATCCCCTTTGCGGCGCTGGCCTTGCCCGGCAGCTTGCCTTTCCCCTTTGCAAAGAAACACCTCCCAGTGCCCGGTGCAGGTCTCCCTGTCGTGCACCGACTGCTTTTGGCCGGCACAAAGCCCCCACCCCACCAGACCTTTCTGTCCTGTGCACAGAATCGACCCCAGCCCCTTTGGTACGCACTGCCCACCCCTCGCTTTCTCCTCTGTAGAGTCCCCCTTCCTCCCACAGCCTGTGTCTGTTGAGCTCCAGGTCCTTGACCTCGGGCACGATCCTCTGGTTTCCTCCGCACCTTTCTACCCTTATCTGCACACCTTTCTTGGGCAGTTACCGCCCCGCCACCGCTGCAAACTCCCGTCTGCTCTTTGTGTGTCCCTATGCTAAGGCAGCCGGCCCATCGGCCTCCGACGAGTTTCCGAGGCCCCAGCCCTCCCGGGACCACTGCTCTGGTGCCCCGGGCCAGCGAGGCGCGCACCGCAGGGAAGGCACCGGCTAGGGGCGCGGCTGCTCCCGGGCGTTCTGGGGCCCCCGCGCTTCCCTCCCTGCCCGGTGCGTTGGGGGAGGGGCCGGCCTGGTGGATTCCTGCTTTAGATTCCGACTCTGGTCCTGGTGGGCGACTCTTTTTTGTGGTTGCTTTCAGCTTTGGTTGTGCGCTGTCTGCCGCATGCAATTTGGAGGGCAGGGTGCTGTTTGGGGTGTGAGTGTGTGTGTGTGTTCCCGCGCGCGCCTGGGCCTTTTGGGGGAGAAGCGAGGAGAAAGGGCGAGATGAAGGCGGTCTCGGTCTCTCCCGAGTGTTTACCATGCGGGTCCTCCCGGGGAGTGGTGGGGGGGCGCGCCAGTAAACCTCGCCCGCTGCTGATAGGATGTTACCACTGTGAACCACCGAGGTAAACATCGCCCCACGGCCACCACCTGGAGATTCTCACCCGCCGTTATTTTAGTGTTGTGGGCCAGAAGCACCCACTCGATTAGGGGTGCTTGAGGTGAGATCCCGAGGCTAATACCCTCTTAGGTAAAATCACCCCATTTCTCTAACACTCCCACGACAATAATGGGTGACGGGTAGGGTCTTCGAAAGAGTGAAGTTTGCAGGAAAGTGTTCTTGGAAGAGAATTCTGATACCGTCGCTACCCCGGCCGCCCCTTCCACCTCTCACCGGGAGAAGTGTTTTCGCTGTTTGTGATTCAGGTTTCCTATCTTTTTCCTTTTCTTTCTTTCTTTTTTTTTTTTTCTTAAATTCTTTGTACCCTCACTTCTGCCTCTTGCCGAGAGAATACAATTTTCCTAAAGTGAAGTTCCACAGACATTTTCCACCGTAGAAAAAAATAATCTGTTTCACTGTTGAGGGGAAGGTGGAGGTGTGGGTGGTTTGCTTGGAAGATCAGTTTAGGTTTGCACACACCCGGCCCTGAAGTGCAGTCAGGTCGGCTTTTATTCATTTGCATAATAATAGGTAAGACTTGAAAATACATCATTCTCCCTTTCGGTGCAAATCCTTGATGTTCATCTTCAGTTTTTTCTTTTTCCCATCTGCATTTTCTTATTTTTTCGGCTGTTGCTTAGTTCCTCGGAGGGTAAGGACTTTTGGAGGTGAAGGAAAATTCGTTTTCTTTCCAGCGGTGAATGTTTAGATCCGGGGTGCACACAGAGTTGTGTGTTTGGCGTCTTTGGAGGCGGGGGAGTCGGAAGCCGGGTTTTTGCAGCTTTGGATCTTGCTGCAGGGGTTAGTTGGCCATTGCCACCTTCATCGCATTGCCAGGACGGGCAGGGCATTTAGGGTCTTCCACCCCCCTCCCCCTTCCTGTAAGCGTCAGGACTTGATTTTTCTTTACTGTTTCTCACCCGATCCTTGACAAAAGGTGAAATTGGATCGCCACACATTGTCATTCAGGTAGGGATCCAAAGCAGATGTAGTTTTAAAAAGCTTCCCTGTTGAAAAGGAGACACTTCAGTCAAAAGCTCTGGCCGGCAGGGGGTTTGTGCCCAAATGGCCCTTTATCTCCTCCCAACTGGCCTCTTTCTAACACCTTTGCCACCTCATTGTGAAAGCCGACCTCCTGCATCCAGGGTTTTGTCTGGCAAAATGTGAAGTGGCTTCTCTCCCTTTTTGAAAGGAGCCAGGGCACACACACTGCATCTAAAAGTTCTCCTGGCGCTGTGCTTCGGTTTGCCACTTGCCTCTGCGAAAATTGGGAGAAGTGGAGTCTCTTTGGGGAGAATATTTGTAAAAACAAATTAATAGAATTAAATTGAATAGCAGTTGGATGTCTGGCTCTAAAAGATTTTAGGCCCCAGTTCTGCCTTGCAAACCTTCGGGGTCTGTTCAGTGGTTCTGCAAGGCCACGGATTTAGTTATTGTAATGTAGATGATGTGGCTCTCCCTAGGAAGATGTTGGATTTTACCTGTGCAGAGCGGGTCTGTTGTGCAAGGGTTGTCTGAAGGTGAGTTGGGTCAGATCCCTGGGGGGAACCCCCCCTTTTTATTTTTTTTTCAGCAAGACACACCTTCACCACTTAAGGGATTGGCTTGGCCGCTGTCACTTGATTTTGGCGTTTCGAACACAGTGTGGACTTTTCTATGACAGCACCTCATTGGTAAAGGAAAAAAAATTGTAGGTCAGTTTATATAAAAAGCCAGTTTTCAGTGGCTTCTGCTGCTGAAAATCTCCTAAGACAGTTTTTCATGCTGTGAAATTGCAAAATGGCCCTTCAAGCCCGGCCTCATGTTGGGCAGCATTTCCAGGGCCCCACGTGCCCTGTTCAGTGGGATGTTGGGAAGGTTACTTTACAAAAACAGAAATCAGGGTTCTTTCTGCTCTGTGGTTTCCGGTGACGTGGGACCTGTGCCTGTGTAGAGGGGACAGTGGGAGACCTGCTCCGCCTCCATGTTGTCTTTTAGAAGTTTCCTAGTGGTGACTACTTTGTCACTATTGTTCCTTTTTAGTAGTGGACAGAAATGTTGGAAAAAAGTATTTTGATTTACAGCAACCAATTTTGCCAGTGCCCTGGGAAAGCTGCCCCTGGATGCTGTCTTCCAGCAGCAAACATCATGCATCATGAGTTGGGGGGTGCGGAACTGAAAAGCTAATCATTCTGTCCTCGGGGGGTCTGGCTGCCCTGTGGTCTGAGGATCAGTGTGTGGCTGTGTGACTGGTTTCTGCTTTTTAATTCACACAGCCGGATTGTGACGAGGCAGCCTCAGGAAGAGGAAAGAACCCTATCTATCCTGGGTGTCTGGCGACCTGAGTCCCAGCTCTGCTACCTATAGGTTGGGCGATTGGTAAATGTCAAGTTGTCCATATGATTCTTGCTAGAGGCTCACTCGGTAAATGTAATGGCACCTGTTAACGTGAGGGCACCTGTTTTGGCATGATGCTGAATTGGAGACACGTTGATGGATGTAGTGGTTCTTAAATGGAGAATTGCTTGTTGAAAGCTTACAGAGCATGGAGCACTGTGCTTAGGTGTTGAGGTTTTCCAGCACAGGTGCTAATGGTTGAAGGAGGAGGTAAGTTTGCACAGGTAAAACAGTTAAGTAACAATGCCTGCTTGTTAGAAGGCGGATCTGCTTTGGGAGCCATTTCATCAGGCACTTATAAGGCCCATTTAACATTATATGACAATACAGGCTTCTTAACAGCAAGCACCTGGCACGTGGCCAGTGTGCCTGCTTTAGTGTTAGTGCTAACACAGCTCTGGTAGGCTGAGCACACTCAGTATTAACTTGGCAGGCACACCTGCAGGTTGGTCAGACAGCTGCTGTATGGGGCCTAGGAGGGAGGCTTGTGGTGGGGGTTGGGTGTCTTCTGCTTGGGGCATAAGAAATACCAAAAGCATAAGCTGGAACCTGGACTCCAGTGGAAGAAAGTATAGCAAGATGGAGCAGTTGATACTTCAGGAACTTAAGAGGGCTCAGCAGGGCAGAGGTGTGGATTGAAAATACAGCTCCATGTTGTAAATGACAAACAGGCAGGCTTGCTCTGCGTACAGAAAAACAGCCATACGTGAACTTCTTGGTTCAGTTTTGCGTATTTCCAACAGACTTTTTGGAGGGCTTTGATTCTCTAAGGGGTCTTGGGTTAGGCCAAACTGAAAACAGTGACTAACGCTGGGCCCATGTCCTTAATCTCCATAATGATGACAGCAGACACCACAAATGAGGCCCTCAGAATCAGGCAGCCAGCAAAAGGCTATGGGCGTTGGACTGCAGAGGGTTAGTGCAGCGTGAGAGGGGTGCCCCTGACGTGTTAGGAGCACAGAGGAGTCCTCAAGCCCCTCTCATGGAGATAAGGAAGCAAGTCATCACTTTGCTCTTGACCTTTTCGGTGACATGTCTGTCCCTAGTGGCAGAGCCTTAAAGATGAAGGGTAAATGAATCTATTCATCAGACTCTTCTGATTCTTTCTGGTGGTACCAGACGAGGGACACCTGAGCTGGAGGAGAGCTCTAGCTCCTGCATCCCTTGGTGTGGTTCCGTGGCTTCTTTCTTTGACCATGACTCCAGAGCTTCTGTGGTTATTGGACAAGGGTGTTTTGATGGCCCTCTTGCAACCACACACTGCTTTATAGTGAGATTTAGCAAGGTTTTTTTTTTTTTTAAGATTTATTTATTTTTATTGGAAAGTCAGATATGTGGAGGAGGACCCAGGTGCCTCCTCCAGGTCTCTCACACAGGTGCAGGGTCCCAAAGCTTCGAGCTGTGCTCGACTGCCTTCCCAGGCCACAAGCAGGAAACTGGTTGGGAAGCAGAGTAGCTGGGACACGAGCCGGAGGCTCCCGTGCTGGGCCCAGATTTGGTAAGTTTTTTATCTTCTAAGTTAGACTTCTCCTAAGTCATGTGCATCATACCAGCACCAGCCTGGTTGAGAATGATTTGAGTGTGTAACTGGGCAATATGGAATGATTGGGTGGGGGCAGGGAATCCCTTGCATTTACAAATAATATGATTTGGTTCTGTGCCCTTTTGCACAATAAAAGCACTAGTGGAAAGTC